GGCGATGATCCGGGGAACCATCAACGGGTAAACAACAGATGAGATACCCTGCATCTACGGGCTAAATATGTACAGAGAAACATCAAAGACAAGACTGATCAAGTCTTCTTACCGCACATCCACCAGGGTTAAATTGTATAGCATTTCCGCTAGGTCAATCAACCTACCCCAATCTTCCACTTTCCGTCAGCGTTCCTCTTCCTATTCCTCTCTGTCTCTCTAGTCTGAGGTAAGTTAGACTCATAATAACGCTCGACACACTAAACACACTTCTCATGGAACACCTGCGGTCTCTGCTTGTCATGTACACCTCGCACGTCACACTAAGTCGTGGAAACTGGCGCACTGAACCTCTAAGTGGTGGACGCTCTCGTCACAGATGGACACACTCACATGAGAGATGGACGCTCTGATGTCCTAATTAGCATCATGGCTCACAGAAGTGGACACTCACGTCTCATCATGGCTCACAGGACCCTGTCAAAAGATGGATGCTCTCCTCTCCGGGATTACAAGTAGAAGAGAAGGAGGAAGATTTGAGTCTCCTGTACATCATGGCTCACAGAACCTATAATAATATCTTTATTTACTACAAGTACATATACAAGGTATACAGTCCTATCCGACATCAATGATATACTACTATACAGAAAGCCCCTTGTTATGCAGAGCATTTCGGGCAAATTAGGTCAGTTTTGTCCCAAGATGCGACCCACACCAGTCGACTAAAACCCAGGTATCCATTTTACTGATGGGTGAACACAGACAACCCGTGTAAGGAAACACGTTCAATGTTTCCACCCCTTCGCTGGGAATCGAACCCTGACCCTCACCATGTGAAGCGAAAGTTTTTTCCACCTGGCCACGGGACCTCTTGGCTCACATAACAAAACCAACTATATCATCGTGGAATTAGAACTTTGAAGTCTTGAGTGTAAAGAAACTGAATTGGGTTCCTTTTGGCGAGAACTGCGTCGTCTGGGGAGGGTTACATCGTTTGGCGAAGGTGGGTCCGTTTGGCGAGGGTGCGTGCGATGTTCCACCCAGCCTGATCACCGTAAATTCCACTAGCTTTGGGTAATATTTACCACCACCATAATATTAACTACAACACACCAGGAAGCCCTCATAAGACAGTCGTATAAAAACACACATTCCACGTAATCTGGCGTAATCAACAGTGGCCCGGTGGCCTGGTGGCTAAAGCTCCCGCTTCACACACGGAGGGCCCGGGTTCGATTCCCGGCGGGTGGAAACATTTCGACACGTTTCCTTACACCTATTGTCCTGTTCACCTAGCAGCAAATAGGTACCTGGGTGTTAGTCGACTGGTGTGGGTCGCATCCTGGGGGACAAGATTAAGGACCCCAATGGAAATAAGTTACAGTCCTCGATGACGCACTGACTTTCTTGGGTGGCTAACCCTCCGGGGTTAAAAATCCGAACGAAATCTTATCTTAAGTCTTATCTCTAAAGAGTCCCAATAAAAACTAGTCTGTTCTGACATGCCAGAGCTGCAGAGAAGCATATCGTAGCATAACGTGAATTTGGCTCACCCACATGAACCAAGGTTGTGACATTCCGAGTCGTCGTTGCATGTGATGCTCAGACGTCTATGCAGTCATAAATAACAAGTCTTCTCTTATGGATTAATAAGACTTGCAACAGTTAGGTATCTTCAGTCCGAAACGCTTCGCCTACACAGTAAGCTTCATCAGTCGATTTTCGAATAAATGGTTCAGAAAGCCAGCAAGTTGATAAGACACTTGTGCAACATTTGGGAATTTTTATTCTGGAAACAGCTCGCCAGTCATTGGCTTCTAAAGTCCAATGCAGAGAGAAAGGTGGAAGGTGAGGAGTTGAGATAGACGAAGTATTTTTGAGGTGGTCAGTCCCTCAGTCTCGACATTACCCTAACTCCGATAGACTCGGAGAAAGCCACTGACAATATGCCCAAGCACTCGGTCCCCAGGCTCAGACTCCTGGAACTCTGTATTCATTAAGAACTGCGAGAAACCCCTTTCGCGTGTCCTAAATATAATAGGGAGAAGGAGCTTAGATACGGGTGATTCCAGTCACTAAAAACAACGGATATAACTGCACTCCGTAAAGGTGACAGCAAAGCATTACCTAAGAACTATAGACCAATAGCTCTAACGTCCCACATAAAAATCTTTGAAAAAGTTCTAAGAAGAAAGATTGCAAACAACTCGGATTCCCAAAAACTCCACAATCCAGGGCAACATGGGTTCAGGGCAGGTCGCTCCTGCCTCTCACAACTACTGGATCACTATGATATGGTCTTGGATGCACTGGAAGAAAAACAGAATGCAGATGTAATATACACAGACTTTGCAAAAGCCTTTGATAAGTGCGATCATGGTGCAATAGCGCATAAAATGCGTGCTAAAGGAATAACTGGCGAAGTGGGGAGATGGATCTTCAACTTTCTAACCAATCGAACACAAAGAATAGTGGTAAACAGAGTTAAATCGGAAGCTGCCAAAGTGAAAGGCTCTGTCCCACAAGGCACAGTACTCGCCCCCATCCTGTTCCTCATCCTCATATCAGCCATAGACAGAGATGTAATCCACAGCACCGTATCATCCTCTGCAGACGATAATAGGATCTGCATGAGGCTGTCATCTACTGAGAACACGGTTAACTTCCAAGAAGATATAAACCAAATTTTCCAATGGGCAACAGAAAATAATATGATGTTCAATGAAGACAAAGTCCAACTACTCGTTATGGAAAACTGAAAGATATATAATTAGAACTGAGTATACTACAAACTCTGATCTTACAACAGCGAAAAAATAATGTGAGGGACCTGGGAGTGGTAATGTCTGAGGATCTCACTTTCAAGGATCACAACAGTGCCACGATCACAACTGCAAAGAGAATCATAGGATGGATAATGAGAACGTTCAAAGCAAGAGATGCCAAGCCAATGATGAACCTTTTCAGATCACTTGTTCTCTCTAGACCGGAATACTGTTTTACATTAACATTTCCATTTAAAGCAAGTGAAATTGCAGACCTTAGAGAGTGTACAGAGAATCTTTACTGCCCATATCAATCCCATCAAACACCTCAACTACTGGGAACGCTTGGGAGCACTTGACTTGTGCCCGCTGGAACGCAGGCGAGAGTGATAATGTACACTTCGAGAAAATCCCAGGAATGGTCCCGAATCTGTACACAGAAATCACTCCCTACGAAAGTAAAAAACTGGGCAGGCGGTGCAAAATATCAGTGAAAAGTAGGGACGCCACTAGTACACTAAGAGTAAACACCGTAAGTGTCCGGGGCCCAAGACTGTTCAACGGGATCCCACCAACCATAAGGAGAATTACCAATAGGCCCCTGGCTGCCTCCTGGTTGAACAGGCCTGGTCGTGGACCGGGCCGCGGGGGCGCTGACCCCCGGAAGACCTTCCAGGTAGACCCCGGGTAGTCTGGACATTGTGGAATATTTAGCCTTCTGTTATATTATTTAATATTTATAACTCACAACAAAACATGTTGCAAAACAATATTGGTACAATGTTTCGCTGTGTGTAGATGTCTACACGGAGCGAAACGTTAGATCTTCGTCAGCTAACTGGAGATATTGGTGGGTGCTGCTTGTGCTGGAGGACACACACACACACACACACACACACACACACACACACACACACACACACACGACCTAGTAGCCACTAGCGAAGAGGCGGGGCCAGGAGCTGTGAATCAACCCCTGCAACCACATATAGGCGAGTACATATAGGCAAGTACAAATAGGTGAATACACGTGTACACACATACACACAGGGCCAGGAGCTAGGGATCGACCCCTGTAACCTCAACTAGGTGAGGACGAAGTACGCAATTTGGATTCTTTGGATGGTAGTAAATAATAAATTACAGAAACACATAACAGGTCCAAGGATTGGCGCCCAACATTTTATCTAAACGAATTAAAACGAACAGAGACGCAATTTTGGGAATTTACTTTGACTATTCAGAAGGTACAACGTAACTATGTAAGAAGTTCTAAACAACGATTTCTCCCTCAAGGTCGTCTGGCTTCTTCCACGACAGTACCAGTTTAGCTGTGGTGGCATCAATGCCTCTTTGTGGTGGATCTGTGATCAGAGGCACTGTAGCGGCATCAGTGTCATTTGTGGTGGATCACATGCAATGTGGCTGGTATTGATTGACGGCTGGCATCAAGGACCCCAATGGAAATAAGTAACTGACTTTTTATGGTTATTCTAGGTAATTTACATATGTTGCTATGCAAAACAACCACAGGAGTTAAATGATAACTCTACGCCTTTCATGTTGCAATATCTTCAGTTTGCAATGCTGCAGAAATGAGTAGGAAGTCCAGGTAGATTCGTTCTAGGGAAAGAATCTAGATAGAGTCGTTCCCTCGAATGAATCTACCTGGACTTCCAATTTATTTCTGTAACACTGCAAGCTCCTGAAGATGTATTGATTGCAACACGACGGGCCTAAAACAATCATTCAACTCTCCCTGTGGTTGCTTTGCATCTAACAACGCTTGTTCGCGATTACTGCATATGTTACTATATATGATATAATTGTACTTATGTGGACCTGTACCCAAATAAACTTATTACAGTGTATTCACAAACACAGTGGCAGGAGCACCTTAACACTGGCACTCTTCAACCACTAGCCATCTTCCTACCATAAAACATCCTTGCCCACATATCTGAAGTATTTCTCAAAATTAATCATAAATCTGCAAGTAATCCATTTAAATATAAACCACCAGCTGTATGCTCATGCCAATATACATACAATAAACATACATTACAAACACGCATTAAAACAAACACGTCAGAGTACCAAATGAGAATTTTCCCCCCACACAGATACATGTAGTTTAGTTTCTTCTAATGACTGTGTATAACAGAGCGTCACTAAGGTTATATGTTAAGTTCTGTAAGGTTTATCAAGAGAGCTCCTCGTAAGTTCACTTACCCCGTGTGGTGATCCCGTGACGTTATTTCGGCAGTAAATGCTACAACTGTAGTTAAACCTGATCCATGAACAAACGTCGCGAGTCACAGGTAGCCACCTAGTCGCACCTCCCTACACAGCCTCATCAGATGCATACCAACCTGAGCGTAGTAGTCAGAGAAGCACAAATACACTTCGGGATGGCTACAACCCTCTCCTGCGCTCATCCACGGTTTCCACACTAATCACCGTGACAGTAGTAAAAAATTCTGCACTTGTATCTGATTTCGAGGCGAGTACTAGTGAGCTTGTCAACCGCTATTTGCTCCGTCACAATCCGCCTCGCCAACGAGACGTCGTGCACACCTCCCTTCCCAAGACCGACTGACACACCGCGGGACGCGGGGCAAGTGGGCAACGGCAGAGGGCGGAGCTAATGCTGACGTAACTGTGACGTCATAAAAACAAGATCCCGTAAAGGCTACTGGAAGCTGGGTTGAAGGACAGGCAGGATCCCAGAGCTGCTACTGCTGTTAATGCTGCGGGCCTTCCTGCCTGCTTGCCTGCTTCCTTGCCTCTAGTGCCTGCCAGGCTACACAGTGCTGCCCACCCGTACCATACCAACAGCGACCATAAGTGGGTGATGATGTTGACTAAGATGACTAACATCACGTGGCAGCATGTCCTGAAGGAACAGGTTCTTGCGACACACGCACCCTGGCTCACCTCAATAGCTTTTCCTGAATTCTTCCATGAGTGCCCCGTTGCCTTTCCCCGCCATTCTGTGATCCGGCATCCAGACCTTGCGCTCCAACGAAAAAAAATAAGAATAAATTCACCATCACGACGTTTCCCCGTGGCGCTAAGCAACACACATTCCTCAGCTTTTTCTTAACTGCACTTAATTTGAGAATATCAGATCTTCGCCAAAACAGACTTCGAAAAGGCACAAAAAATGAAAGTGAAACTATTGACGTGTTAAGTCGGGTATTCAGAGCAAGGCCGTCCAGAGCGTGAGGCGAACCCACCCACCCATCATGTTTATGTTGGAGCCCTTGATGAACTCATCCTGGCCAGTCTGTCCTCAGGAATGACTCGAAAATGGGAAGATGCGTCTTTTTTATTATTATAGCAGACCCCAAGAGTCAACAAAGTAACATCAGTAACCTCTACAGTGTAAAGTTCTGGTCCTTAAAGGCAGTTATTGATCAGCTCTTTTTCCCTTTATCATGTGTAACAGACAGATCATAGCACTGTGTCATCCTTAGCAGAGGATACTAGAATATGTATGAGAGTGATGGCCATCGAGAAGATGGCAAACATCCAGGCTGATGTAAATCAGGGAGGTAACCATGCCCGAATATTTTTTATTCAAGGAGCAACACAACTAAGTCTGGCTACGAGAGTAGTTTTGGTCTCGCGAGTAGCAGGAATCTTTTCAAGCTTCCAGCACTCCTTGTAGTGAATGAACCATACGAATACAGGGCGTTACATAAATGTCATAATGACAATATAAATGCAAGGAAAAAGAATGGACTGGATGAATAAAAAACGAAGGATGATACTCTTCAATGCACTTCAACTCTCTGGACTGCAGGCGAGACTGAAGATCTGAAAAATGTACAACTTTCAATACTCGCATCAAATACCTAAATTACTGGGAATTCCTAAAAAAAAAAAAAAAAAAAAAAAAAAAAAAAAAAAAAAAAAAAAAAAAAAAAAAAAAAAAAAAAAAAAAAAAATTGTATTCTCTAGAATACAGGATGCTGAAGGGTCTATGCTAAAGAAGAATGCAGATAAAACACACGAACAGTTCAAGAAATTTAATGAGAAAAGTTTTCGCCACAAATAGCTTATTTAGCTTTAATACAGAGACAACTAAAAAAAAGTGCATATAAGCCGTTAGAGGGTAGAGCAGTAAAGGTAGCAGTAGTAATAGTACCTTCACTACCTGTATCCCCTCTCAGCTTGCCACCGGACACCCTCTTAAAAATAATCTTTTCTAAGTTGTCTCTATATTACGACTGAAGGCGGTTTAGTGCATGCCAACGTGACCACCACATTGATGATATATATCTTGGATGAGCTTGTAGCCAAACATTTCCTCAGTGTCTTGAACAGTTGGTATCACCATACCTCTACACGTGGTAGGATCTTCCTGGATGATTGCTATCACGCGGTAGGATCTCATTGGATGACTGCTGTCTAACAGACGGTATAATCTCCCTGGATGCTTTGTTTACCAGACGGTAGGATCTCCCACGACGACTGTTGTCTACCAGACGAAAGGATTCCTCACGATGACTGCTGTCTACCAGACGAAAGGATCTCCCACGATGACTATCAGACGGTATGATCTCCCAGGATGACTGCTGTCTACCGGACGACAGGATCTCCCACGATGCCTGCTGTCTACCAGACAGTAGGACCTTCCAGGATGACTGCTATCAAGACAGTAGGATCTCCCACGAAGACTGCTGTCTACCATACGGTAGGATCTCCCAGGATGACTGCTTTCTGCCAAACGGTAGAATCTCATTGGACTGTTATTGACCAACTATCTTAAACACTTCCGGCCCTTATGAACCAGGCTCCAGTATCACCGTAGATCGGCATCAACCAATATACTTTTTTCTTGCAGGTGATTTACGTGTTAGCGGTTTGGAGGGCTCTTCTACCCCCGGCACCAAGCACAAGCATCTTGCCTGTCTACAGCTGTCATCCAGGGGCACGAAGAAGGGGGGGAGGGTGCGAGAATCCTAATGACGTAACTTGAATGCCGACCTACAAACTCAAATAGGTATAAATTTTTAACTCTCGGAAACAACAGCAACAGTCTGGTTGATCAGGTAAGCTTGGCCCAGGGCTGGACTACGGGAGTAGGAAAACTCGCGAAACCCGTCAAAGATTTATCAAGGGTATAAAGGAGTGAGGAAGTGGGAAGACTAAGACAAATATCGACAACGTAGTATTCATACGTATTAAAGCAGATATATAGTCCTAAATTCAATATTTTCTTTCAAAAAAAATCAGGTTTAGTGCATACCAACGTGACCACCATCTACTGGCTGTTGTGTACGACACGAGAGGCCTATAACGGCCTACCCGCCCGTCTACCAGCACGGTGTGCTTCCCATCTCACTACCTGGAGGGCATTCCGGGGATCAACGCCCCCGCGGCCCGGTCCATGACCAGGCCTCCCGGTGGATTAGGGCCTGATCAACGAGGCTGTTACTGCTGGCCGCAGGCAATCAAACGTGCGAACAACAGCCCGGCTGATCCGGCAGTCTCTTTAGGTATCTGTCCAGCTTCCTCTTGAAGACAACCAGGGGTCTACCGGTAATGCCCCTTATTGCTGGTGGGAGGCTGTTGAACAGTCTTGGGCCCCGGACACTTATTGCGTTTTCTCTTAGTGTACCAGTGACGCCCCTACTTTTCACTGGGGGTATGTTGCATCGCCTGCCAAGTCTTTTGCTTTCGTATGGAGTGATTGCTGTGTGCATATTAGGGACCAGTCCTTCCAGAATCTTCCAGGTGTAGATTATGATATATCTCTCTCGCCTGCGCTCTAGTGAGTACAAGTCAAGTGCTTCCAGGCGCTCCCAGTAGTTAAGGTGTTTAATGGAACTTTCATTATTTTTCAATATCTTTGTAATAAGTAATAATCATACCTTTGGTGATATATATTGATGATATATCTTTGATGAATTTCTAAAGTTTTTCTACTCCCTGAGCCCGGCCCTGGGCACCAGTACCCACCTCATCCACCAGCACCACCACCCACCAGCACCACCAACCACCAGCACCACAACCCACCACCACCACAACCCCTACACTGCTGCAGCCACAATGAGAAGCTTGATTAATGCTTGGGTGTGTGTTGTTGTTGTTGTGAGCAGTGCTGGGATAGCACGGTTAACAGTTCTCAGGCAGCTACTGCAACAACCACCACCACCTACCTGGTACCACTACCATCTACCCACAGCCACCACTTACTGCACCTACCACCACCACCACCTACCTGGTACCACTACCATCTACCCACAGCCACCACTTACTGCACCTATCACCACCACCTACCTGGTACCACGACCATCTACCCACAGCCACCACTTACTGCACCTACCACCACCACCTACCTGGTACCACTACCATCTACCCACAGCCACCACTTACTGCACCTACCACCACCACCTACCTGGTACCACTACCATCTACCCACAGCCACCACTTACTGCACCTACCACCACCACCTACCTGGTACCACTACCATCTACCCACAGCCACCACTTACTGCACCTATCCCACCACCTACCTGGTACCACTACCATCTACCCACAGCCACCACTTACTGCACCTACCACCACCACCTACCTGGTACCACTACCATCTACCCACAGCCACCACTTACTGCACCTATCACCACCACCTACCTGGTACCACTACCATCTACCCACAGCCACCACTTACTGCACCTATCACCACCTACCTGGTACCACTACCATCTACCCACAGCCACCACTTACTGCACCTATCACCACCTACCTGGTACCACTAACATCTACCCACAGCCACCACTTACTGCACCTATCACCACCTACCTGGTACCACTAACATCTACCACAGCACCACTTACTGCACCTATCACCACCTACCTGGTACCACTACCATCTACCCACAGCCACCACTTACTGCACCTATCACCACCTACCTGGTACCACTAACATCTACCCACAGCCACCACTTACTGCACCTATCACCACCTACCTGGTACCACTAACATCTACCCACAGCCACCACTTACTGCACCTATCACCACCTACCTGGTACCACTAACATCTACCCACAGCCACCACTTACTGCACCTATCACCACCTACCTGGTACCACTAACATCTACCCACAGCCACCACTTACTGCACCTATCACCACCTACCTGGTACCACTAACATCTACCCACAGCCACCACTTACTGCACCTATCACCACCTACCTGGTACCACTAACATCTACCCACAGCCACCACTTACTGCACCTATCACCACCACCTACCTGGTACCACTAACATCTACCCACAGCCACCACTTACTGCACCTATCACCACCTACCTGGTACCACTAACATCTACCCACAGCCACCACTTACTGCACCTATCACCACCTACCTGGTACCACTAACATCTACCCACAGCCACCACTTACTGCACCTATCACCACCACCTACAACTGATAAGACCAGCAAGATAAAAGAAAAATGGTCTCAAACTGCTAGTCACTGGGGGGAGGGTAGAGGAAGCTGAACCACACACACATACACACACACACACACACACACACACACACACACACACAGGAGCTGAGTCTCGACCCCTGCAACCACAATTAGGTGAGTACACACACACACACACACACACACACACACACACACACACACACACACACACACACACACACACACACAGGAGCTGAGTCTCGACCCCTGCAACCACAATTA